CCATTAATATCTGTTTCCTTCCAACGCCACTTGAGTTTTCTCAGCTTAATTATATTAAGTGGAGCAGCAGGAGTTGCTAGAACTGAACATGACGCACGACGACAACCACCGCCTCCTCAATTTTCCCTTGCTAGTATCTCTCCCATCAATTCTATCAATACGCTAACAGCACCAAGGAAAAGTCTTTCTCTTAAATATCATCTCTTAAATATCTTCTCTTAAATATCATCCATGTATTTTTAGAACCTTCCTTCCTTCCTTCCTTCCTTCCTTCCTTCCTTCCTTCCTTCCTTCCTTCCTTCCTTCCTTCCTTTTCCCTTTCCTTCCCGAGAACTATACCGCAAAAGCAGAACTAACCTCCCTTCGTAGTCCTTACACATACCACTGTATCTTCGCCTGCCATCAGACCATCTCAAACTATGTTTGGGGGCATTCTAGCGTGAGAGAGAATGGATCTGAATATGGGAACTTCTCGTTTTCTCAGAGGTGGGGGAGAACTGGCCTGATCTGGCCGGCCCCAGGTCCTTTTGAGAGCTAAGGATTTCAGGAGAAGGAATACAGCCGTGTGTACAGTGGATTTATTCAGTCACTAGTAAGTCCTACTCCGTTCCATAGGGCTTACTCCTAGGTAAATGGGGGCAGTAGTCACAACCCAGAAGAGATGTCTAAACACTTCCCTCTTATCGAAAGCAATATGCAAAATATGATTTTTATAAGGTCTGTGGGGCCCCGGAAGAAAGCAGGCTGCTCTCTCCAACCCTTATCCTATGACTCCAAACCACACGCCATCTTCCGGGTTCTGCTCTTTTTAATTTTTATATTAAGGAACCCTTCTTTATCAAGCAGAAATTTGCAAGCCCGGGGCGCATTTATATCTCACTTGGGCACCGGATTTCAAATCGCCTTGTGCTTTCCCCAAAGCTACTTTCTGCCCAGAGAGAGAGAGGTGAATTGGTGAAATCAAACTTTTATTCTGACCGTCCCCTGTCCTGGACATCGTGGCAAAAGCTGAATCCTCCTTCCGCACCAGCTGAATATGTGCGGAGCGAGCAAGCCCGTCCAAAAGCAGTTTGGTTATAGACGGGAGTGACTCCGGAGTAAGTGCGACCCACTCAGTCCTAAAGGGTGGTGTGTGTGTGGGGGGGAGGTTCCTTCTGAACCAGGAGAAGAAAGGGGAGGGCCGAGACGTGCATTCGTGTGCTAGGGTGTAGATGCGTGTATGTGAGAAAGCTCATAAGTGGCAAAGAAAGAAATAAGGGAGGGAGAGAGAAGGGGAGCGAAATATGGCTATGCAGCCACAGCGCTGTTGCACTGATGTCTAGATTTTACGTGGAAGTGGATCAAAATTGTGGACGATTGAGAAGGAGCTGGAGGGGACAACCAAGTTCCTGGGAAGAATCTTTCCCTTTACGCGGATCGCAAGCAATCAAGCTGATCGCCGAATTCAGGGATCATCGTGGAAAAGGCCGAGGAGAGCGGCCACTTGGCCGATGAAATGGGAGGCGTGCCAGTCGTGGAAGGGAGAAGGGAACCCCAAAATCTCCGTTTGATTTACCTGTGTGCAAAAGCATCTCCTTCTTACCGTGCCCACCTTGGAAGATGGTTCAAGCGGATTTTGTGTGTGTTTTGAGAGAGAAAGAAGGATCCTCGCGGACCTTCTTCCTTCCTTCTCCGCCTTTCTTCCTCTTGAGAAGCGGAAGCGTGGAGCAAATTAACACAGATTAAGGCCAGCGGATTGCTAACTCGTGGTGCTTTAATCTTGGCTCTCCTTCGTCCACCCCCCCCACCGCCTCCTTGCCTTCCTGCCCCCGGATACACTTAGCGATCAGCACCTGTTTCTTCCTTCTCTAGAAAGCGAGATCGGACCTCGTCGTT